TATATATATTTTTTTTTTTTACTTTAGGTGGAGTCTGGTGGACCAAGCCACCTCCTTGCATCTTACATCACTTGTAGACTCCAGCAGTGAGATCTGTTTGGCATAGTTCCCTGGTCTCTTCCTTCTCAACTTGTAAAATTGGATGGTCTCACTCTTCCTGTTGCATTCACCATCTTGTATTACAAATTGCAAACTCGGCAGAGAGAGTGGGATCATGTTGTACTGGCAACAACTGGAGTTGCAGACTTGGAAACCAGACTAAAAATCTCACTGCTTGAGTCCCTGAGAAATGCAAAAAAGAAAAAAGTTAGATGGTTCAAGTCTCCACTACCAGAAAGAGGCCACGTTTGTGAGAACTGACCGTTAGAACAGTATTTAACTACTACAGAGATATTAATAGCAATCAGACATTCTCAAAATTATTCTTGATCTGATATGAATTTGTATTGCTATTGGCCCCTGGCTGCTGTAGGCTGAGCTCCCATGAGCGCTGAATAAAGAAGAGCAGCCAGCACCAGCGTTAGTGGGGCTTCATTCAGCTAGTGCAATTCTCTCCCAGTGGACAGAGTATATTAATGGGCTGGTGTAGCCCAGCCATTGCATGTAAGGTCAACGCAATGCAAGGAAACGCTTGACAAATGCAGATGTGTGTATTGAGCCGTCCAGCAGACTACATTCTACCAGACTAGTTGAGTGGGGGGTGGGTGCTTGGCAGGTAGTACAATGTATGAACTGAGTGCCCCTTTGAGATATTTGTGTAAACATGACTTTAGTGTAGTGTGATGTTTGCCATGCGTTAAATATTTTTGATGTTGTGGTTCTAAACGCAATAGGATTTGTACTCCTAGTATTTCCTGTAATGGCTATGATATTCTAGGAAGTGTGATCAGGGATTTGCCCGAGGCAAGTTCTGTGCTAAAATATGGCCATACTTCTTGTCTCAGAAGGTTGGACTTTGTGCAGTACCTGTATACAGTGCCAACCGATTACAGTGATTTGCTTTTCGTAGGCTTGCTCAGTAAGGCAATGCAAAATCCATTAACCCATAGAAACCAATCAGGTTTCAATTTTCTTAGGAAATGCTTTCTGATTGGTTGCTTTGTATTACTGCATTTTGCACTGCCTTACTGAACAAGTCTTAAAGGGTCACTCATCCTTTCTGGCAGAAATAGTATGACTCTGCAATGAAATAGGGAGCTCTATATAATGTTTATCTTGTTCCTCTCATCTAATGCAGCCTATTGAACTATCCCCTGAAAGCAGTAAGAAACATTCAAATGCCGCTTGTTCGTGTGAGAGAGTTGTAGTAATATGGAGCATTGTATCTCTGTGAACATATAGATGTCACTTGTGGACACCACATGGCCATGAGCATGATTTGAATACTGACCAACTGGTAATTAAAAGAAACTGTAAAAGGCATTAAAAAAAGATTAGGTCGTATTATATTCATTTGTCTATATTCGTATCGTATTATTTGGAAAGTGCGTTTTGCTGCCTGACCCAAAAATATTTGACTTGTTTGGAAACTGATGTTCTTCAAAAGCTTCAGTGCACTTTATCTGGTGGCATGGTGACACGTGGTCCATGTTCAACACCACACCTGATATGTGGCCTGCTCTTCCATGTAACTTAAATCATTGTTGGCAAAAATAGATTTTGGTGGAAATACCCCAAAACATCATCCACATAAACCCAATTACTTAGGCTTTCCAAGATCAGTGACTAATTACAAAGTTTAGTAACTCATAGGCACCAAGATTTCACCTTTTCTTCATTTCAGAACAGACAGGCAGCTCCACTTTTGGCTTATTAAATAAGGCTCGATAGCTTTTTTCCAGGGATTTAAGTAGCTCTTTCTTAAACCTCCGGAAATGCATTATCTGCATTACCGAGGATACTCTGGGAATACGCCTGAGATGTGATTGGTGATCTTCTTTTAATCCCATTTGTTTCCCTTTTTTATTCTGTAGCACAGTAGACCTTTTTTGCCTTCTCTTTTTTTTCTCTCTCTCTCTCTCTCTCTCTCTCTCTCCCCACAATGACCTTGCTAAGTCTACACTTAAAATGATCTACACTTTTATGCGTCACATCCCAGATCTGCTTTGCCAAAATGACCTCTCGCAAAAATGCAAATGTCACTGTAAGTTATGCTTGCACATAAAACAGGCACTCTGCAAACATGGTTGACCGTGTCCAGACCACCTAAATTCTCATTTTTAATTATTGCTTTCTCCATAAAAAATCACTTGTCCAATATCCTCCATCTACGAAAGCTTTTATTTGTTCCCAGCAATGAGAATTTATCTTGGGTGTAGATCTTAAGCATCTTTTAATAAAGCAGCTCAAGCATGCCATTTTAAATGTCCCTCTTCAATATTGTGTTTAACAATGTTTCTTTTATTTTAAGTCCGTATCAAGAGCAAACATGGGGAAATGCAGTAACCTATAGCAACCAAGCGATCTGTACCTTGCAGAATAGACAGAACATTGAACGATGACCCTTTACTGGTTACTATGGGTTTCTTAACATTTCCTTTTTTTAAATAAGACTGTTTATTAAAATGTGGTATTCTCTAAGTACATACAATTCACAAGCTCATGCCAGTCCTTATATAAAAATATTGTTTGCAGCAATTTAAAAAGAATTGAACACGTACACAGCACACTTGTGCATGACCCACATCAATTCATATAGCCAGTGATATATGAATTTGTTGCTCGGGGTGCTTGCTGCATGCTTATAAATTTTGAAGCCTCCGTATTCTCTCCAGCCTAACCTCAAAAGATGTCATGAATATTTCAGAGGCAGGAGAGCCTTCTAACACAGATTCCAGCACCGGTGACGGAAAGCTGGAGAAGGGGAATCTCAGGGCGGACTGTTTGGCAAGGTGATGTGTGTGCAGATTAGACCAGCACCGTGTTTCCAGACTCTAATTAAATTGCTGATCATGTGCTGATTGTATATATGTGAGCGTGCAACTGCTTTACAGATCATTGTGTCCAGGAGCTTTCTAGCCCTCAGTTGGGACCTAACCCTCACCTTCACATCACCCCCACCTCCCCAAAAAACAAAAAATAAGTAGTAACAAAGGGCTGCCAAAATACGTCTGCAGTACTGAATTCCGAACAGATCCTGCATGCTGGCACTGCCAATAAGCAGTTCAGACTGTGACCTAATACAGAACAGAATCTTTTCACATTGGCTTATCTAAAGATATTATATTTCTATCCTAATTTCTGTCTTCACCTGACGGTTAGATTAAACTGGCTCATTGAGTATTCTGCTTAAAGTGATGGAGCGAGCCAATGCACCTATAGGGATTCACCCTACGATAAAACATTGCCCTGACTAGTTCATTTACTCCTAAACATTTTTTATGATGCTGGTCAAGGCTTGCCCAGACTTGGTGCCCTTTATGATGCCATTCTCTTCATTACCTGCAAGGTGACAGGACAGCTTGGAAGCAGCACACAGGTACAGGTTCTGTGCTATCCAGAAGATCAGCTGCAATCACCTTGTCTCGCCTGTAATCTATATAGCCCTAATTTGGATGCATATTATTATTATTTAAAAATTATTTTAATTCTTTTATATTGAATACTGTCTTGACTTGTGACATAATTTTGGAAGCTTTCTTTTTTTTCTAAGCTGGAGATTTTTATTTATTTTTTGGTAAATCAACTACAAGGCTGCTCTATATGATTTAATCAAGAAGGCATCGTTTATCACTGCTATCCATAAGCAATATCCACTCTGCATAACAGAAATATGTAGCCCAAGCTATATATAGCAGCCTACTGCTCTGATATTGCAACCTGTCTTAATGCTACTAGATGATGATGGCTTTCTGGAAGAAAAATAAGCAAGGCAGTTTGGAATCTAGTAATTGTACCAGGATTTAGATGTAACAATCAAATACTTAATCTTCTATCTACAGCAATAGACTGGAAGAGCTAAGCGCTACTTGTTATGAAACTAAGACTCTGAATATAGATGTCAAGTTAATGAAAATGCAATCATATACAAGGAAACGGAAGACAGCCTGAAGACAATTAGGTCTTACCAGAGCTCAGGGCGAGCAGTAGTTAGAGGAAAAAGGGGGGGGCTTACCTTATGTGTCCTTAAAAATAAGTAAATGACTGTGAAGTTCTCCTTTGATGCATTTCTCTAGGTTCAGTTCTGCAAGCCTCCTGGATGCAAAGGATGTTCTTGTGCTCCGCATCTGCTGCAGTGCTAGCAATATCCTTGGCTTCCTGAGAGTTGGTAGCTGTTATATTAAAGCAGTTGTCTTGGGTTATTAAAACTTGTTTGTTTTAGGATCTTGTTTTGTTTTTTGTTTTTTTCCTTCTTCTTTTTTCTTCTGCGAAAAAAGGGGGGAAAAGCCTGGAGGAATGATTAGAGCATAAACACAAATGCTGCTTCCATCTCGAAGTCACCACTCAAACTGCATGAAAACCATAGAGATTGTGCTATAGCATTTGTAAGGGAAGGAGTGCCACCTTGTGTCCTACAAAGCAAAAGTCTACTCTGATTTGCTACACTGTTACCTTTTAAAATTCATTAGGTAACTTGTTTGCGTGGAAGTGTGTATGTGTGTTATGGTTTAATACATTTCATGTATGTCTGATTAAGTCATTGTAAGTAACCATTCGACTTTAATTTTGGAATACCATTTATAATGTCCAAATTGTGAAACTTAAAGATCAGGATTTTTGGTTTAGGCTTTTTTTAATTTTTATAATTGTATATACTAGTGTTCTAAAAACCGATTTCTCAACCATTGTATGTGTATCACGAATTTAACTAATTATAATGGTTTAGAACGGCTTTTCTCAACCAGGGTGCCGTGGCACTCTGGTCTGACTTCCTCGGGGGTGCCTCAAAATTTTGTGATAATGGGACTGTGATGTGAAGGGGAACTCTGATGTAACCCCCACTCTGGTAGGAAAGAGGGGCTTCTGGTGTAAAAGGGAGGCTACTGGTGCTAAGGGTCACTGATGTGAAGGGGGAGGGGGATCTTGATTTAAGGGAGCACTTTGATGTGGGAAAAGTAGGAAACCTACTCTTTTGTGTGGGGTGCCCCTTAAAATCTGACATTTTAGGGTGCCTCAAGATTTTGCATACTTTTTAAAGGGTGTCGTGACTAAAAAAAGTTAGTGAAAAGCTGGTTTAGAGTTAAAGCAAACAATTATATCCAAGGTTAAATGGATTGTTTTCAGTATTGTTACCTATTTAAAATACATTGTTTGGAAAACATTTACCCACAATTAGGTGTTAGCAGTGGCATCACAAGGGGGGTGCTGCCCGCACCCAGGTGACACCATTGGAGGGGTGACACCAAAATGACTTAGTCATTTTGGTGTCACCCCCTCTTGAAAAGTTGGGCGCTCGGTCATGGAGAGGGGACCCGGCGGCATACCTCATCCAGCCGGGTGACTGTCTCCTCCTCTCTCTGCCGGCGTCCATCACCAAGATGGCCACCGGCAGGTATCGGAAGACGGCCGCGCGTGTGCGGCGACGTCTCGGCGGGGTGACACTCGGACGCCACTCCGGGTGTCACCCAGCCTCGGGACGCCACTGGGTGGTAGATGTACTAAAAATACTCATCAAGTTGTATTTGAGTGTTCCCCTACCAGGCATTGCTGACTTTGATAAAGTTAGGAGACGTCATAAGCATATCGCATAGCATTCATGTATTTATTGTATTTAAATAGCCCCGATAATTTACATACTGCACATTCACATCAGTCCATGCCATCAAGGAGCTTACAATCTAAGGTCCCTATAAGACATGCATACGTACACACCAGTGACGTGAGGCATTCCCCAGCACGCCCTGCCCCCAGCATGCTGAAGCCTTACCCCCAACCTGATCACCAAGCTAGTGTGAAGGAAGAAGGAAGGAGACAGGGAGGAACCTCCCTGTCCCTCAGTTGCTCATCACTGGTGATGCATTGTCCTCAGTGTTTTGTTTTTTTTTGTTTGTTTTTTTATTGGACAGCTCGGACCAATGGTGCTTTGCCATTGGTCCAAACCATCCACAGAGCTCAAGCCTCTAACATAGAGTAGAGGCTTTTGCAGCTCGGGCCTCACTATGTTAGGTTACACAAAGCAGTGGGGAAGCCTGTTGCTGTGTAACCTAACTTAGCTGCAAAAGCCGGATGCAGCGCTGCCTGTAAGTAACAGGCAGCGCTCCATCCATGACAGGTTACACAGCGGGGAGGCTTTCCCTGTTGTGTAACCTGTTACAAGCCGCACTGAATGGAGAAAAATCTGTCAGCTTCAGACTTGGAGGTGACCGCTTTTTCCTCCATAATACTAGTTGAGGCTCTGCCTCCCCTGACCGCACGTCCCTGGTACACACACATATTAGGGCCAATTTAGAGAGGAGCCAGTTAACCTACCAGCATGTTTGGAGTAAACCGGAGTACTCAGAGCAAACCAACGTAAGAAAAGGAAGGAAACTGGAGTACCCGGAAGAACCCCACACAAAAACAGGTAGAATTGGGGGGAAACCGGAGTGCCCGGAGGAAACCCATACAAGCACAGGGAGAACATGCAAACTACATGTAGATAGTGTCCTTGCCAGGATATAAACGAGGGACCCCCAGTGCTGCAAGGCAGAAGTGCTAACCACCAAGCCACTGTGATTTGTTCATCACTTTGAGCTGTGGATGAATAATAATGATACCAGTGACTCAATAAATGTAAGTTACTATATTATTTGATATGTATAACACCTCATTTAAAACCAGCAAGCTACAAACTGGTCATTTACTTAGCATGATGTTCAGACCCACGACAGATGGTAACATTTCCATTTATGCAAAATGACTGTCTGCCCAATATCCTCTGTAACTCCAAACGCACTGCTAACACTTTATAACCAATCCTCAGCTCCCTTTATATCTCAGCGCAAACTTTGTAAGCTACTAAAATGGGAGCCTCATGCAAAATGCAGAATACACCTAAATGTTTCAAGTGACCAGTTGTCTTACTTATCTGCTTTTTTATGTTAAATGCACCGTAAGGAAGGCAAAAAAAAATGTTGTGCCTTTAGGCATATAGTAGACAAATGTATAAATCATAATCGGATCCCATCTCAGTTCTGTAGGTTCAACACACCAGGTAGCTCAAAGGTAGCTCAAACAACCTCAGCACTATAGCTGTTGTGGAACTACAAGTCCTATTGGGCGTTGCAAGACTGTGACAGCCATAGGAATGAATCCCAGAGCCAAAGGCATGATGGACTTTGCAGCTGGAGTGCTGGGGTTGCCTACCATTGAGCTTCCCCTTTGCACTCAATGCAATTCTATGAAATATCAAAGTCTGGCCATCAAATGTGAGAAAAGTATCCCTGCTCTGCAGCAAAATTTGTGAACAGTATCCTGTGTAAATGGGATCCTTCAGTGTGCAGGTACAGGCATTTAGTATATTGCAATTTTTCAGGACCACGGTCTTCCTGTTTTAGTATTACCATGTGCTGGCTGGTAGATTTGATGTGTTTTGTGTGTATACAATAGAAACCGCGATTGTGTGGCCTGAAGAAGCATCCCACCTATCAATCCACTAGTAGGTAGTGACAGCACTGTGACTGTCCCTCATTCTAAAGAGCTTTCACAGCCCCCCAGTGGATTGATGGGTTGCATCCTGTTAAATATTGGTCTGGGTAAATGAGTGTAACCAGAAAGCCTGGGTGACCGTTTTACTTTAATTGACTCTGTTCATTTCAGACACGGGGCTCTGCTAATTAACTGCCTCTGTTATTATTTAATTTGCCCTGGCTGAACTCTTTAAGAAACCTGCTGCGGTGCTGATGGTGGAGGTGTCGAGTCTGGATGCAGAAGCTTGTTGTTGCTTAGCAACAGATAAAACAATGGAGTCCGCAGGAGAGCGTCTCCTGAGCTGACGGAGGGGAAAAGGCCATTGGATTGTGTGATGGGGATCTGCCCTCTCACTTTCCCTGCCTGCAGGTTTCTCGTCTCACTTAAAGTATTCAATATGATGTTGGAATTGTAACCGTGTCTTTGTACAAAGACTACTGGATCACTTTGGAAATCTTTACTGAGCATTTTTAACAGGATCATAGTGTATTATAGGTAGCCCCCTTGGTGGTGTGAGTGTGGTCTGGACCTTCCGTGGTGTATGACAGTGTTGTCAAATTTTTATTATGGTAGTTTTATGTATGTTTCATATATTTTGTTATAAATAGCTTAAAGTATTTTAAAGTAGCTGAAGTGGCCCATGTGTTAACAAGCGTGTCCTTACACTTTTCAGGCTGGGGTAGGGGGGTCTAGGAGAGGTTCTGGACCGCTATGGCCAGAAAAGGCTGCAGGTGTGGCACATGACCCAATGAGATGCCCCCCGAGGCAATCGCCTCAGGCTGCCTCATTATAGGAACGGCGCTGTGTGTAACCATTTTTTTTTCCTGTGTGTATTAATTAGGGATACACCGAGACCGGTTTTTCAGTTACGAGTATCAATATTTTTTTCTTCGGTACTTGCCAATACCGATACCTGGGGTCCCATTAAGGAAGCCAGGCGACATGTAATGACTTGCCACCTGGCTTCCTGATTAGCCGGACAGCGTGTAAAGACGCGCAACCCAGCTTTCCTATATGTAGGGCAGCAGACTTCATGCTCCCTCGTCACCAGGTGACGAGGAAACATGGAGCCAGCTTTCTAGCCAATCAGGAAGCAGGGCGCCATGTAATGACGCGTTGCCCGGCTTCCTGATTGGTCGAGAAGCTGGCCAATCAGGAAACCGGGCAACCCGTCATTACACGGCGCCCAGCTTCCTGATTGGCCAGGTGATGGGGGAGCATGAATCCTGATTTCTGGCCAATCAGAAAACCGGGGTGGGGGGGGGCGTGTAATGACACGCTGCCCTGCTTACTGATTGGCCAGGAAACGTGCTCCATGCTCCCTCGTCACAAGTGATGAGGGAGTATGGAGCCCGCTTCCTGGCCAATCAGGCCAATGCTTCCTGGCCAAGGCTTCCTGATTGGCCAGGAAACGGGCTCCATGCTCCCTCGTCACAAGTGACGAGGGAGTATGGAGCCCGCTGTACAGCTGCCTAGATCACTTGTACTTGCCTGCATAGGTAGTGCCCCCCTGCCATCATGGATTTTGGGGTCACCTACTCCTCTGGGGGACCGGGAGGACAGAAATTAGTGTCAGGTTTGGGAGTGGGAGCAGATACATTATGGGGGGCCTAATATATATATATA